TTTTTCTTTCAAAATTGGAAGACATACAGCATCATATGCACCTTCAATGTCCATAAAGAAAGCAGCCAAATAATTATTTTTTGAAAAATTGTTTTGTATGTCGATTACGATGCTTGTCAAAGCATCAATTGTTCCGAAACCTTTTTATAGCCATACTGGTTTTTAGGCATTAGATTTTGTTTATATAACCACCATTCCAACCTACTTTTTATTAATCTTTCGAGGGTTTTCAGAATGCAGGACAACAAAGAGATTGGTCTATAAGACTTAGCATAATTTGGGTCTTTACCCGGTTTCAAAATCGGGACAACAACGACCTCCTTAAAAGCCGTAATAGTGCTACTATTTACAATAATATCATTATATATATTTAATAAAAATTCCTTTGCAATGTCAGGTAAATTGGTTAACATAGGATACTTGATATTGTCATATCCAGGGGCAGTATTTATGCGGGAATTTAATGCATTGTCTAATTCGATCATACAGAAGGGCTGAGCTAAAAAGTGATTAGTATCTTTAGGTAATACATTTTGGTTTGTAGGAGACATTACAGTAGGGGGGGCAATTTTGTCAAAGAATTCCATGGTCCAATCATCATTTAAGGAACGGATAGTCGGTTCTTGTCTTCTGTTCATCTTTCTTGCTTGGTTCCAGAGGTCATGAGAACTAGTATTTTTATTTAGTTTAGAACACCAGTTAATCCAATTTTTTTTTGCTTTATTTTTTAATATTTTTTTAGATTCAGCAACAATTTTTTGACAATTTATATAATTAGACATAGTTGGAGAATCCTTATAAATTCTTAGAGCCTGGCGTCTGTTGTTCACAACGATGTCACATTCATGGTCCCACCAGGGAGGTGAGGGGCGTTTTTTGCATTGAAAAGGTTTATAAATGGGTATCGATTGAGTGGCCGCATTATTAATACTATCTATAAGAAAGTTGTATTTGTCATTATTATCTATAAACTCTAAAACATTTTCGAATGTCGACTCTAATTTGTCAGCATATAAACCCCAATTGGCTTTATTTATATTCCACTTACTTTTGGGAGTTACTAAATTATTGAAAATTTGTATATTTTCATATTTTACCAAAATCGGGAAGTGGTTTGAACCTAGCGTATCTGAAGTGATACTCCAGGAGAGCTTGTTTGCAATATCTGAAGAGCAGAGAGTTATATCTATCATGGAATCATTTACAGTAGGCCGATTTAAACAAGTAGGTTGTCCATTATTTAATACAATTAAATCTAGATCAGTTATTGCAGAAAATACTTGTTGACCATAAGTATCATTTTTATGCGAACCCCATATAGCATTATGAGCATTCATATCACCTCCTATTATGAATGGTGAACTTACTTGAGAAAAAATTTTTATCCAGTCCTCAGTTTTAGTTTTAGTAGTTGGAGATCTGTAGACTGATAAGAAATGTATGGAACTGTTATTTAATTTAACAGTGCATCCACAAACCAGGATATCAGTATTGAAATTTTGAGTTATATTTAATTTCATAAAGCAAAGGGTGGTTTTGATGAGGATTGCAACGCCTGCATATCCGTCATCGCGGTCATTACGAATAATATTGTAACCTTTAAATTTGTACACAGTATTTTTCTTAAACCAAGTTTCGCTAAGTAATGCTATATCGATATTATTATGATATAAGTATTGTAATAGAGAATTTTTATTTGTAACAGCGGAACGAGCGTTCCATTGCATAATATTTAAATACTTAGTATTGAAGACTATTTCTTTGAAAAAGTACCCTCCAATACCAAATTTATATCTCTTTTTATTAGATCATTATCAAGTGATTTAACATCTTCAATTGATTGAATTTTATTACAGATAGTAAAAATATATTCTATTATAGACTTAGATAAATTATCTTTGATTTTCTCTATATCATTATATTGAGGTTTGTATGGGTTTGCGGGAAGTGGTTTGGAAGGTCCAAATTGAAATGGGAAAATGGGAGCGATATTAGGGGATAATGCAATAGGTGAACCAGCTTTTCTTTTTTTTCTATTGTCGTCAAGACTGCGATTAGGTGTAATCTTCGGTTGGGACAAAAAACTGTTAGTATGAGAATGGAAGGTACTTGTGCTTGGTTGTGATAATATTGGCGGATTCCGCTTAAATGTTGGGAGGGGGGGGAAATTTTCATCTCTGTTTTCTAGAACAGAGAAGGTGTTTCTAGTAGCGAGACCTGCAAAAGATGAATCACAATAGGCTTTAGCTTCTCTAAACGAAGTTTTCTGATTTATCATAATATTTTTGATTTTCTTTTGATTTTCATAAAATGGGCAAGATTTATCAACGGATACATGTCCACTAATTTCACAGTGAATGCAGAATTTATCTTTTGCTTCACAATTGTGATTTTCAAATTTATCTGAACCGCAGTTAATACAGATAGTACGCGAGCTTTTACATTGTTTAGAAATATGTCCGAATTTTAAACATTTGAAACATTGAGTAACTCGTCCTATAAATTGTTCCACGGCAAAAAATACTCTATTAACTGCTACCTGATTAGGTAAAATATTACCTTCGAAAGTAACCAGAATCATCTGTTTCGGTTTAAATTCAACTTTACCATCTGATTCAACCCTGCGGTGTAAACGTTTAATATTTAAAACTTTTGATTGGCATTCAATGTTTTCAGATAAGTATTCTGGATCATATTGTGTATCAACACCTCTTATTATTCCTTTGGTTTCAAGTAAATGATTCGGTATATATGCCTTTAAATTTTCAGAAATCAAATTAGGATGTTTAACTAAATTATTTGCGTCATGAAGAGTTCTTAATTCAACTTTTATGCGATTTCTACCAATACTTTTAATTTCTACAATGTTAGGTACTTTTAACTGTTTATGTAAAATATGTCCTATTTTTAATGGGTGTAAACGTCCCAAATTATCATTATTTGTACTCTCTATATAAACATGAACATTTTTAAAATTGTACTTATCTGAGGCGGCATTAAAAAGTCGTGTTTCGTTTGTTTTTTGTACTTGGTTCACTATTTGAGAAGAGCGGCCACTGCTATCGTTTTCAATGTTATTATCCGAAATATCCATTGCTGGGTTGTCCGGCTTGTCGGAACTACTACCACTATTACTATTTGAATCGTCATTATCCTGCACTAATATCACATCTAAGTGTGTCTGTTTGGGGTTTGTCTCCCCCATCGGGGAGCTTTTTTCAATGACCGTTTATTCGGAAATAAATTTGCAATTCACTAATCAATCACAAAAATTAAATAAATCCGATTTAATTATTTAGATTTACTCGAGTGTAATGATCGACGTCTGCTTCGTACCGATGTATACACGAGGAAGGCATGTTCCATGTTAATAAGTTCATTAACATCAGACACAAAAGTTTTTCAGAAACAGAAGCAAAGTTTACTTAGAATTTTTCAAAAGATTGTTATTGTACTGCTATCCCGGGACTTTTTAAAGCAGTAAATCAAAACTATGATAAAACAGAGTGGCGTTTACTCAAAGACTCTTCGAAATATAGTTTAAAAGCTGTTTTATTATACAACGGAAATAAGAAACCGCTTATACCAATAGGACATGCAGTAAATTGTAAACAGAGCTATGAAACGATGTGTACTTTAATTTAATAAAGTATAAAGAATACCAATGGAAAGTGTGCGGCGACCTCAAGGTTATCGGTTTGTTATTGGGATTACAGGCTGATAACACAAAATACTCTTATTTCCTTTATTTGTGGGACAGTAGAGCAAAACAACATTATTATGTAGGAAAATTATGGCCTATTGGGAATGAGTATATTCCGGGAAAAATGAACGTTAAACACGAGATGTTGGTAGATCCAAATAACATCACTCTACACCTCATTCATTTTTCGGTTTTTTAACGCTACGAGTTAACCTTTGTGGGCCTCAGTCTCGATAAGGTGGGAACCACCATTTTAGCGGTTCTCGAATTATATATAATGTTTGCAATTACACTAGGGAAACAATATTTGGTACCTTTGGTACCTCTCTGCAGATGGTGTCGATACTTTTATTTCCCCAAAAATTAAATGTAAATTAGGAAGACTATTGAGGATGTTTTGTTTCGAGAAACACATAAAGTGAGCTACGGTATACCCGAGATAGAAACATGTATTAACAATGTGGTGCATGAGTCTACTGGTTATTATCCGAATTATTTACAGTTTGGACGTATGAAACCGAACAAAATAAAAAACATTATTAATTTTCCATCCTCATTCCTATCAGTGGCACCGAATCCTGAACAAGTTTGGTCTTTCAAGTTAAACCATCGTGCAAATAAACGAAAATCTTACTATGATGTAGAGGTCAAGCCTGTCATTCTTAATCCTGGTAATTCAGTACTCGATAGAAATCATTCTTTGTCATCCACTTTGATGGTACTATAAAAAAATAGTTTTATTATTTGAAGGTCCATATTATGTATTAAAGGTAGACCCTAATGCGTATGAAATTGTATTCGAGAACGGTAGCTTTCATAGTTATCAAAACATCAATTTACGAATTTACCGTTCTTTGCCTATGTAGACAAGCTACTTATGGTAGTGAGTTTGTCTTTATTTTGTATTTAATACTTTTCAATTCCCTTATGTTTATTTGTAATTATATTATTAAATAAGAGGGAAGTGAAGTTGCGCAAAACCAAGACTTTAGCGAAGACGTGGCAACAACTCCAAAAGCTACCGGACTTTGGTCAGGTGTGTTGTATGCATTATTATAAGTAACCGATAATTCGTGCATTCGCAAATTTCCGAGATGACCCGATTGATGTGATATTAAGAAACCAACAAATCAGATTCACTTGTCAGCTACATTCTACATTATTGTTTGTTAAATGGTCATGTAGCACAGATGATCACATTTTATCCGTCTTGATTATCATAAAAAAAATCAATAATTAGAATACAATTTTACAATGGAATTTCCGGACAGGGTGCAATACAAAAAGATAACAGATAATGCTTAAACATCAGATTTATTCGAAGGAAGACGTTGAAGTAAGTTTATAAACATTTTTCTTGTTTTACATCGTAGGACAGTAGGCTTTTAAAAAGCATCGTTGTAAATTTAGAATTAATGAGTATGCACTAACCACAATGTTATTACGGTATTGTAAAGTGTTTTTGCATGATAATATGTATCTTTAAAGTTGATTGTACACAATATACTCCATATTATGAACTATTTACAATTTGACGGTTTTCCCACGCTTTTTTATTAGGTTAACGCGCTAGAAACTGTCAGGTCGAAAAAATAGTTTAAAATTTCGTATCGTACAGTATTTTGTGTTTTGGTAGTACTTTAAAAATGTAATTATTATAATCGAAAATGAAATAATTTTCACACAATTCATAAAATGTTTCCCCTCTACAAAATGACATGATTGAATTTAAGATCCGACGTTTTTATCTCTGAGCGGCCATCATCAATTTTTTTATTAATTACACACGTGAATTTTTTATATCAAATTATTTTAAAAGCCTCTGGTGTGCCATAACTAGTGACGTATTGCACCTATTCGATTTTTTTAAATTATTTTCTGGTGATATCCTGTTTCCTTTCTTCCTCGAACACATTGAGTTCTTACATAAAGTGCCAATTAGATTATTTTTTTTGTATAATTGCGGTAGGTCATTGGCTTTGGAACATTAGAAGTTCCTAAAGTCTGATAAAAAAATAACAAACTGAGTAGAAGCGAAAAAATGGCTGTTATAATGTGACCTTTATTTCAAAATATTTTTTTAAATAAACCCGACTTTCAGAATTATCCAGATACTTAAAAATAAAACAAAAATTAGCGGTAGGGGTAATTTAATTTTTTTTCAGAAATTCATATTGGATCTTAAGCAGCTCACGAAAGTAACCTGAAGTTTATATAAAACTTTTAAAACAAATGAGCAGACGCGGAACCTTTTTAAAAGGATATATTATTGCCATTTCAATACACGTTGTAGAACGAATACAAAAAAACTGAATGAAAAGTCAAGAAATGTAAACTGTCCAGCTAAATTATTCATAACAATAAAACGTTTTTACTAAAATTCAAAATCTAAAGTAAAGGTAGATAAACAATATCCATGTACAGTAGAGTTACATGACAATCATAATCATAGAGTAGATGTTGCAGATGCTCTTAGGGAAAGGCCTTTGGGTCCTGATGCCAAACAAGAACTTTTACATTTATTTGAGAAAGTTCATTCAGCTGGTTCTGCTTACCACACTTTTTATGCAACAAATATGGAATTATATGGAAATAAATATAATGAGAAAAATTTTTATCGCTTCTATTTTCCTACAAAATCAGATGTCAGAAACTTATGGCAAAAGACGTTAAAGCAGCAGTATGGTGAACGAACTGAGTTTATCATGCTAAAAAAACTTCAAGAAATTTTATCATCAAAAAATGGAACCTTATTTAAAATAGTGCAGGTAGGAGATCAGTATGCAGCTTCCATTTCTACACCATTAATGCAGAGCGCTCAAAAGCTTCCACAAGTATTGGAAATATTATTTGTACATGCTACAGGAAATTGTGACTTACAAGACCACAAGGTTTATTCTTTGTAACCCAATCAGAAATTGGTGGTGTTCCAATTACCTGTATTCTTAGCAGCAGCAGCCAAAAAAAAAGTTTTTGATGCTGCGGTTGAGGCTTTTTGATTTTATTACCGTCAAATTACAACCCAAAGTTATAATGACAGATGACGATCTCAATGGAAGAAATATTTCCCAACTTCTATATTACTATTGAGCGTTTTTCACGTTCTCAAAGCATGCTGGGCTGGTTAAATATACCGAAGAATAGTGTGCTTGAATTACAATTATTTACTTATGTTAAAATGTATTTTTAGGCTTGCAAGATATTGTTGTTTTTTCAATTCCTGAAGTAGAAAATAAAATTGTTACAGAAGAAATTCCGACGTCTCTCAGCCAAAATCATCAAAACAATGCATTTACTCAGGAATATGTTTCCTGAACAGTTAATCAAACCAGAACTTTAATTGATTTAAACTCAAGTAATAGAAAAAAAGTGGGAATACTTCAAATAATAAATTTAAAAAATAGAAACCAAATATTAGAGAATATGAGTAAAGACAAAAAGACACAAGAAACTGGAAGAAATTAAAAAAAGAAATACATTAATAGAAGAACGTAATAAGATCCTTAGGGGCGAGCAATCTAGTCAAATCACTTATATATTATTTATGTTAGTTTAAAAAATTAAAAGATTAAGAAAACTTGTTGTTGATAATTATTTCAAATATTTTGTTTTATTGATTTATGATCTACTTAAACTACTGTTTGATTAAGTAGATTATATCGAAGATTGTTTTAGTTTTGTTATTTGTTTGAAGACTGGTTATTTCAAAGAGTATTTGTTTATTTATTTTATATAAAAAAAAAATTTCTACACACAAAATATAGTTTACTTCAAAACACGACTATCATAAACTAAACCGGGGTATCCAATGAAGATATCTCTAATTCGCATAGTATTGTCACATACAACCTGCATCTGCAATAAAAAATTGATCATATCATTTATCTAAATAGTAAAAAATAAACTTTCAGACGAAGTAAAATATAGAACATATGTTTATACGTGTATAGAATGAAATCCCTTCCTGTTCAAATATGAGTCGAGATCATCAGATGGTCTATCTATTTTGACATGTGATCCATCTATACAGCCAATCACTCCAGGGAATCCTTTTTGTCGAAATTCTGTCTCAATTTCAATTTTTTCTTCAAAATTCGGCCAACTTATATATTGATTTGACACATTGGTCAGGAAGTTCATCATTCTACGCATAAACTGATGGTTATATCAAATCGGTCTGCCAGATCCCTAAAACTAGCAGTCTGATGTCCAGAAAACCATAAGAATACAAAAGTTTGTTGGAGAGATGTAAATTTTTCATAACATCCGGCTTGTATTTTAAAATAATTGCTAGCTGCAAAATGCTCAGCGATAGATTCTGCCACGAATCGACTAACCCTAAAATGTTCCATAAAGTCCTGCTCATTGTAACTTGGTATGGTTTTTTCAAAGTAATTTTGATTTTTTCTCCCAATTCTATCTTCCAACAATTTCTCAAGTTCATCAAAACTGGAATCTGCTTCACTTGATGCAGTTGATAAACTTTTATCAGATAGGTCGCTCATTTTCGTCTAAACTTTATAATTACCGTCGATTTCACCATAAATATCAAAAACAACATAGCCTAATAAATAACCTTTTTATTTTTCTATGTAACCTATATTCAAAAATACAAAGTAAATCCGAATTGAAAATGCTCTTGCGTCGAATTCTATATCTTTGTACTATCAGCAAATTTTTCTGACCGTCACAAAACCAATCCCTTGAACTGATGAAACAAGAAATTGATAATCAAATCAGAAGTGTCTGTGGTGTTTGTTGAAACGCTTAAATTTTGACTGCGCACACCGACGATCACCGACTCTTTCTTACTGTTGTAGGAACAAACCTAATAATATACTAAAATAAAATCTTGTTAAAGAGTTTGCACACTTTTTAGCGTGCGCAAAAACGAAATTTATGACGTCTAAATATACCGTTTTCTACACGGTGAATCTATCGCCTTGGGCATTTTAGATCTGGTAGCACTGCGGAAGAGACAGACAGACTTTATTACGCAAACGGCAATAATTAATTTTAAGTTTTGTAACGACTCGAGCTGTGATTGATGTCCAACCCAACTTGTCGTCGCTGTTTGGAGTTGTGTAAAGTTAAATAAAGAATATTTCCAATATACCAGAACCCCGCTTATTTACCCTGAAAAATTGGCCCATTACATTATTGACTACGCCCAAAGCTCCTTTATTTACCTTTAAGCCCTGTCATACATTGCAAAGAAACGTAGCATGTTGCTATTTCGTAAAAGAACCGACATGCGTTGGCTAGTGCGATGTTGTTTATCTCTTTCATATTTAAAAATAGTTTTTACCTATAACTCACTAATTACAATAAGTTTTATTAATTAGAATAGTTTCGAGATATATTGCGACACATGAAGCGTCCACACCAATTCATTTTCGTACATAGTGCAGTGTTTCAGACTCCGACGCATTGTGTGCAGACTTGTTGCAATATTTTCTGAAACATTTCTAATAGTAAGTCTCTAAATAAAATGACTTGTACTAAAACAAAAAACGTATAAAATGTGTACAAAGTACAATAAGCTATTTTAACTGATTTCAGCAGACTTTATATTTTAGCAGCATCTATTTTTGATCCATTATGCAGGGCATTTTTGTACCTATCGTTTTTACATACATACGCCTGCTAAATAACAACTATGCTAATACTAAGTTAAACTATGGCAAATACCATTAATAGGCCTGCAAATAAATGCATAAATTGTAAAAGCGTTAGTCGTGACAACACCGCAAATTGAAAATAACCGTGTTTCCATTCATACTATATGTCACGTATAGTATTTTATCGATCGATGCAGTAAATTGTTCCATATCGGGTGTTTTTGTTGATTTTTATACTTTTTGGAAATATTTCGGCTTATAGTTTTAGTGTATAGTTAACAACATGGTTCGAGAGTAGTTATGATTAGCCACTTCTGGCCCAAGGTCAGAGGCAAGGTCAGAGGCAATTGATGTAATTAGTAATTACCCTAAGTACCCACCCCCCACCCTTAGCGCAATTAGCAAGTACCTCCCAATTACTCTGTAAACCATGTAGTGAGTGTAATTACATAGTAAGTACTTTTCAATTACCCTATACACCATGTGTAATGATTATCGTAAGTACATCTCATTACTCCATACACATTGAAATGTAATGAGTGTAGGTATCTTGTATATATAGTAATTGCTATGCATGTCATGAAGTGTAATGGTGCATTTTAGAGGGTAAGTTAATAGAAACGTTTTTTCATATTTTTGGACGAGCTATCACGTCCTGAAGTTCTGCGCATATATTATGAAACACCATGTATATATATATAAAGATTTATTATTTAGCTAAATTTTAACACACAATTCCTGAACCGGATTTAAATTTTTAAGTCTGTATCCTATTTTGAGTTTTGTTGAAAAAGTTATTTAAAAAAGTATCCACTTTCACCCTGTATTGCCGACGTGATTTTTTTTTATTTTTCCACAATTGAAACTGTTCGAGAATGGATTTATTTTCTTTATTAATTTCTTAATTTAAATTCGCGTTATCTATTTTGACACTTTGCCCCACCTAAACGGTTCATGCTTGGGACCTTTTCGAAGAACCACGAGACATCGATGTATCGCCAACAAAGTAACAAGTTCGTTCGCCGTCGCTTAATATTTGTGCCCTTGCTTCATGTGTGCCGCTCGCCGATCAGTCCAATATTCCAAAAGGTAAGGTGTCAAATACGTTATTAATTTATTTAGTTTGATTATTTGAATCAGCCCTTTTTTGGCATCATAACATCCGTTCTGTTTCATTTGGTCCTTCTTGCCTTTTGTTTAAATAATTAAAACGATTTAAAGTAATTATAACGTATAAAATTAGATTTTCTCTCATTTTCACTTTTTTTTGTTTTTTATATATACTCCCTTGGAGTATATCGTATCTAGCTTCAAATTATTAACGCAGAAAAGATATTATAATAGGTACTTAATAAAAATAATAATAATAATAAGTATTGCTTAAAATTTAAATTATTTAGGGATAATAATTTTATTATTGGTCAAAAGGTGACTATTTTAATAGACATATTTTACTTTTTGTTAGATCGTAAAACGAGATTACATTTATTTTTCGATTCTCGACCTTTGTGTCACCGTCTCAATTGCGCATATCCCAGAATTAAGCTGTATATGCCTATTATTGCCATTTGCCTCACCGCTGTCCATCTATCAATATATTTGTATCTGCCTCGCACTTTATCTATTTTACAATTATTGGACATCGTCGATTGCGCTCTGTACGGAATTTTTCGATTTACTCATTTCACTGTGAATTTTAAACCGCTTATAGTGTTGTTCGTTTACCTGATTTCGTAGAAAGGTACTTTTATTATTTAAAAGTACGCTCGCTTTGGCTAGATTAATTTGTTTTTGTGAATTAGAATTCGAGTTAAATATTTTTGATTTAGAATGGCTGAAAAAATCGCTAAATACAAAACTTTGAGATCGTCTGCTTTAAATGAAATTAATGTTATTAGTTTGCTTGCTGATAAAGTTAGAACAGACAAAGCAGTTCGCAGTCTTTTTCGCGTACGTTGCACTGATTTAGATGCAATAAAAGATGATTTTATGAAACAACATAATAATATTCTAACTGTACTCTTTAGTATTCCGGAAGATGCTGAGGGGAAGATGTAACTAAAGAGGGGTTTTTATCTGAATATTATAAAATTAAAGCCGTTTTTGCCGAATTATTTGATAATGAAACGCATAATCTGACTCATGCTAATGTTGCCGCTAATTATACCGTTATTATGCAGGATCATTCACATGTACGAATGCCAAAAATCGAACTTAAGAAATTTAATAGGGACTTTAAAAACTTTCGATCTTTTATGGACCATTTTAATAATTTGGTACCTAAT